TTTTCAGAGTACCCGCGACTTCCGATGGAGTACTCGTCCAATGTCAGACCTGCTCCTGGCCAGGTGAGTCTGTTATAAGGCGAGCTCTGCTGATAAGATACTTCAGAGGGCGCCTTGGAGATACTACTAGAGTCAACTAATGACAATGCCATGTTGCACGTTACTTTCAAACCATGCAGTGACGCCCAGACAGGTGATTCCAGTATTCTTCCAGTTCACTGATGTTTGGTCGAGGCTCGCGACCCTTCTATCGAAGCCTCCTCATAAACGGCAGAGATGCGTCATGCATCCATGGCCCTTACATGTGAATTTCCAGTCCTAATCTGTTCAATCTGAGATATCTGGATCAGGCTGTCAACTTCGTCCTCTTCGAGACTCCTCGATGCCGACCAGTCCAACTCTGTCGTATCCATCCTCTGTCGGAATAACTCGAACACTGCAATCCCACCGTGGCGAATACCATACGATATCATGCTCTATTAGCCATACGAGTATCTTCAGGTTAGTCGTGCACCGCACTGAATTCGATACCACTATCCAGGGAGCGATAGGAACTCCCGCTGACTTGCAATCAGACCAGATATTGCTCAAAGGAAGGCACAGAAACCTGTCGTAGGTTCCTGAGAGACCTAAGAGAGCAGATCAATCTCAGTCCAGGTGTAGAGAGCCGTCGGCAACCTACTCATGTGCAGTGTACGCCGTACTTGGAGCTCCACCTCAACACTGTGATAGTCACCGTGCTCGCATACCAAAGGAATACACGGTGCGAGCTGTCTTTGAGCCAGCCTCGGCTTCGGAGTTGCAAGTCAATCCTGGTGAGATCGACCTGCCAGTACACAAGTTCAATGTTTATAACCAGATCATCCACAGAAGGTTGAATTGCGGTTATCTCGAGAAGCTGTCGAGGCGTTTATGGCTGAAGTAACTGGAGACGCATATTCGTGGGGGGAAGAGGAGGTATATGATTCTCGTGGCATTTGTACACTGCATCGTTTTCGATTAGATTCCCGGCTGTATCATCAGTCATCTGACGCTGAAGCTCGACAACAATGGTTGCCACGTGCTAGCTCTTTCAGCTTTTCCTGAGCCCATCGGAATCCCCATTAATGGTACGCGTTCTCGTGTAATGGAGCGATGCCGCTCAC